TGGGACATAGGCCAGAGGTGTGAAAAGGGGCTGGTTAAGAGGATTCATCAGAGACAGGGGTGGATGGTAAGAGGATTCATCAGAGATAAGAGTAGGCAGCAGAACAGGCAAATCAACTGAAATACAGAGGGGAAAAACTAGGTGAGGATAGGGCAAGACATGAGAGGTCTGCTGTGCCACATAGGTCAGCCCCCTAGCCGAGGATTGAACTCACAGTAACTGGCAATGGCTTGTTAGCACTGGGACTTTAACCCCTGTGCCTCCAAAGAGATCCTTCTGTGTTTTTTTTATTGGTGAGTTTATTCCATTAATATTTAGGATGATTATTGATAACAGAAGTCTGTTATTGCAATTTTGTTCATCATTTTGTGGTTTTATTGAATTCTTTGTTCAGTTCATGTTCATTCCTTTGTTGTCTTATATAAGTTTTTATGTAGTATTACTTGAAGTGTAGAGTTGGTTGTAATGAATTCCCAAAGATTCTGTTTGCCTGAAAAAGTCCTTATTTTTCCCACATATAGGAAGCAGTTTTGCAGCATAGCTTAAGATACTTGGTTGGCATTTTTTGTCACAGAGTTTTTTGGATATGTCACTCCATTCTTTTCTACATCCATAGTATTTCTTTAGAGAAGCCTAGTATTATAAGTTTTCTGTTATAAGTTATTCATTTCTTCCCCTCTAGTCAGCTTCATTATTTTTTCTTAGATTCTTGGAAGCTTTACTACTATTTGTCTTGTTGTAGTTTTCTTCTCACTATGATAGCTTGGCCTCTTTTAAGCTTGTATGTCCATTTTTATTTCCTTCTTCAGTTTTGGAAATTTTCTTCAATTATTTCCTTGAACAGCTTTTCAGCTCCCTTATCTCTGATTGCTCCTTCTAGGAGTTCTATAATGCTTTTGTCCTTTCCTAATGAAGTCAGAGAATCTCAGTGTTTCTTCATGTTGTCTCTCTCTCTTCCTTCTTGTTTCTTTTTGTATCTGCAGGGTCTCTTATATCACTGATTCATTCTTCCATACTGTTTTTCTATTTTAATGGCTTTTTCCTGAAATTTCTTTTTTTTAAAGATTTATTTATTTGTGCATACAGAACTGGGGTACAGGCCAGAGGCTCAGGGGCGGTGAGAGGGGAACAGAACAGAGACAGAGTGGGGAACAGAACAGGCAGATCGACGAAGTACACTGCTGAGGGGAGCAGCAGGCGGGTCAGGAGAGGTCTGCCACACCATGTCGTCACCTCCCAGGGCAGGCGGGAATCGAACTCATGCGGAAGCAGCTTTAGATTCTCAGTGCTGTGCTTTAACCCGCTGCGCCACCAGGAAGGGCCCTTTTTCCTGAAATTTTTAACCTCCCCCATTGATCTTTGTACTTCCTGCAGTTCCTTTATTTATTTATTTTTAAAGATTTCTTTATTTATGCATACAGAACCAAGATATAGGGGCAGTGAGAGGATTCACCAGAGATAGAGTGAGGAACAGAACAGGCAGATCAACAAAGTACACTGCTGAGGGGAGCAGCAGGCAAGACAGGAGAGGTCTGCCCAGCCATGTGGTTCACTCCCAGGCCAGGGATCGAACTTGCAATGAAGTTGCTGCAACTAGCTTGTACTGCTGTGCTCTAATAACCTTTGCACCACTAGGGACCAGGGAGGCTCTCCTAAAGCCCCCCATTTTTTTAAAGTTTCCATCATGGATGGAGCTCAAAGGGATTATGCTCAGTTAGGAATGGAGAGAATACAACTAAGGGATCCGAAAAACAGTAACTATAATAAAGCAAATATCAAAATCATCATGCAACTATATAGATCAGAGACATTCTGTAGGGGAGGAGAAGGGAGAAGGAACAGGACAGGAGTGGGAAGAGAACAACTGACTCATGTTGATGGTACATGGCTGAAATGGTGCTGTGAATTTCATGGGGAAATCATATATTGTACAAAAATGAAGAATGATGTAATGAATATATTTAAAAAATAAAAAAATATTCAGTCTCAATCTTCTATTTGTTGATTATGTTTCTCATAGGATTCTTTTTCTTTTCTGTACCTTCTCATATTTCTCTGATCTGTTTTTCTGATTTTGGTTTGGTTGTTAAAATTCTTTGACTTTTTTTACTATGGCTATTTTGAATTCTTTATCTGACAATAAGAAAATTCTTCCATATCAGTGTTGGATACTGGGGACTGATTTCCTTTCTGTGGTGTATTGTTTACCGGAGTGCTTACTTGACCACTTGTATTTTTCTTTTTCTCCATTGTCTGCTTCCTCTTTGTTTTAGGAGTGGTTAGTGAGGACTGCTGGGGCCAGTAAGTGGGAACTCCTATGGCTCCCATCTAGATATGAGTCATCTGGAATGTTGGGGCAGAGGGATGGGATTTCCAGGCACTCATAGTTTCTTCTTTTAAAGATTTATTTATGCATACAGAACTGGTGTACAGACCAGAGGTGCAGGGGCAGTAAGAGGCTTCACCAGAGACAGAGTGGAGCAGAACAGGCCAACTGATGAAGTACACTGCTGAGGGGAGAAGTGGGCAGGTCAGGAGAGGTCTGCTGTGCCACGTGGCTCACTTCCAGGCTGGGATAGAACTCATGCTTAAGTGGCTTTAGCTTCAGCTCCTTAGTGCTGTGCTTTAACCCACTGCACCATCAGGGAAGGCCCTCCAAGCACTTAAAATTTCTAGGCACTCTTTCCAATGTGTGTGTGTGTGTGGTCTTACTGGGTCTCTGGACCACTGGAGCCAATGGCTGGGGCTCCCGTGGATCCTATCTAGGAATGAGTTGTCTGGACTGCTGGGTCTTTGTCCTTTGTATTTTGACAGTTTCCTTTTAATAATGTTTCAAATCTATTTTTATCTCTTTTGTTTCTGCTATGCATTTTTGTTTTGGGGTTTACATAATGGTTTCTGTGCTTATAAGCCATTTTAAAATGAAAACAATTTAATCTTGAGTCCCCATTTTAATCCTGCTTTCCTTTAAAGGGTGTATTACAAATATGTTGCTTAGAAAATAAATATTTTACAGAACTAAGTTTTCTCTGCTGAATTAAAATATAGATCATTTTAATGGTTTTGAAAAGTCAAACTACTACTAACCAAAAGGATTTAACAAGCATGTTCTGTGCATAGATAGTAGAAACTACAAAAGCTCTATTAGTACTGGCTACACAACATTAGGATTTTATGCATCTCTGATCCTCTTCTTCCTTATCCGTAATAACCATTTTAGTGACAATTTCACATAAGTTTGAAACTTAAGTGAGTTGATTCATGCAAAGCATATTTATACATAATAGCTACCTACGTGTCAATTAATCAAAACTATTAACTATGCGTTAAGTGAGGGCCACATTAATACAATTATTGTAGTAAGAGAAAAAAGGGGAGGAAGGGCACTTGGGGAACATTAGTCTATTGAGATAATTATTTTATCCACTGATGTTTAGAACTGATGGTACATGGTGATAAAAAGACATTTTGGTCAGTTTCACTATTGTTTTTAAATTTTGTTTTTCCTTCTTGCCTTTACCAGGGGACATTACAGCAAAAGACCATCTTCTACATTCACTCCATTACTTTCAGGCATAGAGTAAACAAGGACTCAGATGACAGTATCAGAGTGTGATTACCATGTACTCCAAAATAAACTAAGGGTGATTATTTAGAAAACAATTGTTCACTTACCTTTTTTGAATTTATGTATAGGAAGTTTCTTAAGTTGGTCTTTACGGAGTCTGTTTCGTCTAGCTCTATGTCTGTCCTGGACAAATTTTGTGATCTGAAAATAAAGGAGAAAAATAAAAAGGAATCATATGTTGAACATATGATATAAATGTCGGGCCCTCCCTAGTGGTACAGTGGGTTAAAGCATAGCACTAACAAGCTATCCACAGCCTCTGCAGCATGAGTTCCATCCCAAGCCAGAGAGTGACTCATGTGACACGGTAGATCTCTCCTGACCCACCTGCTGCTTCCCTCAGCAGTGCATTTTGGTGCATCTGCCTGTTCCACTCCCCCCCGCCATCTCTGGCCTGTCCCCCAGTTCTTACGTGCATAAATAAATAAATCTTTACAAAAAAGTAAAATTATAAATGTCTTTTAAGTTTCATGAGCGGTGCTGCAAATCATTTCAATTTAATTAAATTCTATTTGCAATGCAATAAATGCAAAGCATTAAATACCTCATAATTTACCTCATAAATAACCCTTGAATTTTTGCTTATCTTTAATTTACTCTGATGGAAAAAAAAATATCATGTATTGACTGCAAATATGTATGGTAGATTATTTGTTAGAAATATTGGCAGAGTTGAAAATCCATGAATTACAAACTAATAAAGTTTAAAACGCAATTTTTAAGAAATATTACACTTTTAATTCTAGCAGTAATGAACAGTATATAGACTGTAATACAAATGTTCATATGAAAGGATGAGGGGCCCTCCATGGTGGTGCAATGGGTTAAAGCACAACACTATGAAGCTATGTGCAGCTACTGCAGTATGAATTTGATCCCAGGCCAGAGAAGGGACCCACGTGGGAAGGCAGACCTTTCCTGACCCATCTGCTGCTCCCCTCAGTAGTGTATTTCAGTATTTCGCATTCCCCCACCTCTAGTCTGTACCCCAGTTCTCTATGCATAAAAATAAATAAAACTTGTCCCTCCCTGGTGGCGCAGCGGTTAAAGCACTGCACTGAGAAACTAAAGACACTTCGGCATGAGTTCGATCCCCGCCTGCCCCGGAGGTGACCACATGGCGTGGCAGACCTCTCCTGACCCGCCCGCTGCTCCCCTCAGCAGTGTACTTCGTTGATCTGCCTGTTCTGCTCCCCACTCTGTCTCTGGTGAATCCTCTCACCCTCCGCATCTCTGGCCTGTACCCCAGTTCTGTATGAATAAATAAATAAATCTTTAAAAAAAAATAAATCTTAAAAAAAAAAGAAAAAGAAAATGGAAGAATGAGAGGGAGAAAATGATTATCATGAGTCTGTTTTTTAATTAGTTGATTGATTAGCTTGTTTTTTGAGCTGATTGATATTTGATTATTTTAATTGGTGGTTTTACATATACATGGACACACAAACATTCACACATACAAATGTATATATATAAATGTATATATGCACATACATATTTGTTAATATTCACATATAATTTATTATTAATCACATCTCAGTGATTTTCTTAAATTTAATATCAACCACTAGAACAATAATATAATGTAAGCTTTCAAATAAGTAGAAAGAGTAAGTGAAATAATTTAAAACATCAAAGGAAAAAAAATCAGTAAAAAGTAAACTATAGAAAGTATAGTTTACTTTTTTTATAAATCAATTCTATATATAATTGCAAAAAATATAAAGATTAGATCTTTTTTAAGAGTGTACCATACTAAATAAGAAACAGTGTCAACTATATGCTATTTACAAGTTACAAGATTAAAACTAAGGATACATTAAGATAAAAATAAACAATAAAGGTTCAGGTGAGAAAATAATAAGAATAATGAACAGCCATATACCAGAGGCATTTTGTGGGGGTGGAGTAGGGAATGGGATCAAAAACGGGGTGGGGGGGAGGGAAGTGTACTGGACTATAGTGATGGCACATGGGTGACTTGGTGTTGGGAAACCCATGGGGATTACAATTGAGATGAAAAAAAAAATGTATAAATGATGTAAAAATAAACTACCATATTATATAAAAAATAAACATTAAGCAAAAGAAAATGGCATATCAAAATAGAACTTAAGATAAAAATTATAAGAAGGTAGTCATGTCAATAATAAAATGGATACTATATGTAAAAGATGCAAAATTTGTGGGGAAAATAAATGTATTCACAAACAATGATTTATAACTCATACAGTCAAAAAATTTAAACACAAGAAAACTATGATGTCCAGTCAGGTGGCAACTGGTTGGCTACTGAACATCTGAAATGTGACTAGTCTCAATTGAGATTTGCTATAAAAGTATTGCCAAGAGCACAAAAAGAATATAAAACATGATTCTATAATTATTTACTAAAAAACATTTTAAATTAGTTTACATATAAATTCATTTGACTATCAAAAACTTTTAATTACAATAAATGTGCCTCACAACATCATTCTGTTGCCTAGCTCTGCTTTAGAAAACAGAAGAGTAGAAAAAACTCATCATTATAAACAATAATGATGGTTGAAAAATTTTATGAGTACAATGAAAACCACTGAATTGCAATTTTTTTTTTGTTATTTATTTATACTGTTATTGAAGGGCCATTATTTTACATCCTTGCTAGTATTTTGACAGTACAAGATATTCCTATCCCATGTGTAGTCACTTTAGCCCTCCCAAAACCAAAGCAGCCATAGTCCATTATGTTCTCCCTCCCACAGCCCTGTTTTCACCCATTTTCCCCACTCCATCTCCTCTGAAAGTATAAGATTAATGGTAAGATTCCAAGAGGATGAAAGTTTGTCCCTGACACTTGTTTGGTTTTTCTATGTTCCACATATAAGTGACACCACCCAACAATTATCTTTCTCTTTCTGGCTTATTTCACTTTTTATAAGCCCTGCCAGCTCCATCCATGATGTAAATGGAATGAGTCTATCTTTGTGATTGCTGAGTAGTATTCCGTTATGAATATATATGTGTGTGTGTGTGTGTGTGTGTGCACCACATAGTTTTTGATCCACACACCTGTTTCTGAGCATATCAATTATTTCCATATCTTGGCTACTATAAACACTGCCACTAAATATAGGAGAAGGACTGTTGGGTTTTACAGCAGATCCATTTTTGGTCTTCCAAGGCGCCTCCCCATTTTTTCCCACAGGGGCTGGAAAAGTCTACATTCCCACCAACAGAGAAAGAGGGCTCATTTTTTTCAACACCTTTGAAGCAATTGTTATTTCTAGTCTTTTTCAATATGGGCCATTCTCAATGGTGAGAGGTGGTATCTCATTGTGAGTTTTTTATTACATTTACTGGATGATAAGTGATAATGAACATTTTTTAATTTATGTGACTGCTAGACATTTGTATATATTCTAGGGAGAAGTGCCTAATGAGTAGCTCTAGCCATTTTTGATTAGGTTATGTTTTCTTTTTGTTAAGTTGTACAAGTTCTTTATAGATCTTTGATATCAGCCCCTTGTCAGATGCATGGTGTGCAAATATTTCCTCCCATTTGATAGGGTGCCCCTTCATTTTATTTACAGTATCTTCTACTGTCCTTAACCTTTTCAGTTTGATGTAATGCCAACTATATATATTCTTGTTTTCCATGCTTTTGGGGACAATTCTGTGAAGATATTTCAGAGATTTATGTCCTAGAGTATTCTGCTTAGTTTTTGGTTTTATATCTTACATTCAAGTCTTTCATTCATTCTGAGTTGACTTTTGTGCATGGTACGAATTATCTAGTGTCATTCTTTTTCATGAAGCAGTACAGTTTTCCCAACACTGTTTATTGAAGAGGCTTTCCTTGTTCCTGTTCTTGTTCCAGTGTATATTCTTTATTTAGTCATAGAGTCCATTTATGCAAGGGTTTGTTGCTAAGTTCTTAATTTTATCCTATTGGTCTGTGTGTCTGGTTTTGTTTCAGTACCATGCTGTTTAAGTAACTATGGCTTGATAGTATAAAGTATGGAAGTGCAATATCCACATTTTCTACTTTTTTTCTTAGGATAGCTTTGGCTACTTGGGGTTTTTGTGATTTGATATAAATTTCAGTAATGTTTGTTCAATTTCTATGAAGAAAGCTATTGAATTTTATTGAGATTGCACTGAATCTGTGAATTGCTTTGGATGAGATGGCCATTTTGACAATGTTGATTCTTCTAATCCATGAGCACAGTATATCTTTCTATTTCTTTGTATCTTCTATTTTGCATACTTAAACAATGCTTTATATTTTTATTTGTAAAGATCCTTCATCTCCCTTGTTAGGTTTACTCCTGGGCACCTTTTGTTTTTGATGTGATTATAAATGCATTGGTTTTCTTAGTTTCTTCCTCTCCTAGCTCACTGTTGTCATATAGGAAAGCTTTTAGTGTACTGCTTTTGTGACTGCCACTTTACTAAAATGAATTATTATTTTATCAATGGAATTTCTAGAGTTCATTATGTATATTATCTTTTCATTTGCAAACCGTGATAGCTTTACTTCTTTTGTCCCAATTTGGATTTGGATATATTTTTTTACATTTCTCTTGCCTAATTGCTCTAGCTAGGACCTCCAATTTTATATAGTAGTGGTGAGAGTGTACATCCTTTTCTAGTACTGGATCTCAGAAGAAAGGCTTTCATTTTTTTTTACCACTGAGAATAATAGCTATAGGTTTTGTCATACCTATATAATAATATATTATTATATTTTTATTATATTCTATTTATAATCATACTTTTAAAATCATAATTAGAAGTTTTTAATTGTAAATGAATGCTTACTCAACATCTATTGATATGATCATGTGCTTCTGTTGACTGATTTTCAGATGTTGAGCCATCCTTGTCTTCATAGTATAAATCCCACGTGGTCATGATACATAAGCCTTTTCTATATATTCTTAGATTTGGTTTGCCAAGATTTTATTAAGGGTTTTAGCATCTGTATTTGTTAGGGGGATTAGTCTTTAGTTCTCTTGTGTTGTCTTTTAAGTAGTATATTTTAATTGGGTCAATTTTGTTATGGAAATTATCTCAATTAATCTGGTCAAAATGGCTAGAGAATCTCATACTAGATAAGACAAATACACAAACTCAAACTAATAGACATACACAGAATTTTGCATGGAATAACTAACCTTTCATATTGTTAATTTGTCATTTATAATCTTTGTAAAAAATGGACCCATATAAGAAATTCTAATAATCCAATTTACAAAGAATTTATACATAATAATCAAGTAATTCTTCCCCTAACTATGAGAATTTTAGAAATTTACAAAACAAATTAACATAATTCAACAGAGCAAAATATGAATACATAAGTAAGACATTAATTAAAGCATTTCACTATTAACAAAGAAAAAGGCAAATAAAAAATAGTTTTTATTATTTTTCCCCTTGTTTTACCAGAAAATAGAACAAAATATGAAATAGGAGTTCTAACAAGAAAAACATGTCATTTTGTTCCTTGCTTTCAAGGTAAAGCTAGTATTTCACCATTTACTGAAATTCTTTTTTAGTTTTTTTTTTTTTTTTAAGATTTATTTCTTTATTCAGACAGACCTGGGGTACAGGCCAGAGATGCGGAGGGTGAGAGGATTCACCAGGGACAGAGTGGGGAGCAGAACAGGCAGATCGACAAAGTACACTGCTGAGGGGAGCAGTGGGCGGGTCAGGAGAGGTCTGCCATGCCATGTGGTCACCTCCAGGGCAGGCAGGATCGAACTCATGGGGAAATGGCTTAAGCTTCTTAGTGCAGTGCTTTAACCCGCTGCGCCAACAGGGAGGGCCCTCTTTTTTAGTTTTTAATGAAGAATCTTTATTACTTCATGGTACTGATTTCTACTCCTACTGTGCCACCAGTATTTTTGTTTGTTTTGTTTGTTGGGTTCTCCTACCTATACTTCCTTGCTTCTTACACCAAAAACCCAGGAAAATCAACATACAAATGAATAGAATAGGAGAATTCAGCAGGTTTAATTTGAAAGAGCTTAATTCTTCCCTCTCCTCATCTTTAGGGTGGTCTATATTTAGTGCCCTGTTTTCAAAGAAAGGATAAAGTGGTGAAAGAGAAACATTATTAGCTTCCAAATGGAAAAACCTGGTAATTGTTACCTTAATCAAAGGTAATATTTTACATATATCAGGTATCACTTTATATATGAAGAGAAGTAAATTTAGTGATATTCATTTTGAAACAGTTGTATCCATACGTTAATAAAAACATTCAATTCAAAGATACTCTATAGAACACCTAACAGGTACTCCTCAAACTTGTCAAAGGCATGGGGAAAAAACAATCAAAAAAGTAAAACTGATTAGAGGAGACTGGGAAGACATGATAACCAAATACGATGTGGTACCCTGGATTGGATCTCTGACAAGAAAAAAACATTAATGGAAAAACTGATAAAATCCATAAAATGTCTAGAGTATAGTTCCTATTATACATCAATATGAGTTTCTCAGTTTTGAAAAAATTGTAAAATGTGATATATTGTTAATGAAAGGTAGATAAGAAGTGCAAAGAAATGCTTTCTTCACAATTTTTTTTGTAAGTCTGAACATCATTTGAAAATTAAAATTTATTTAAAAAATAAAATATTGTACAAACTTTATATTACTTTATGTCCTATTAACAACTAATCAGAAAATTTAATTAAACAAAATCTAACAAAAGACATGAAAAACATTTACCAAAAAAAAAAAAGTTAAGCTGATTACTGTGGAAGGTCTAAACAACTGAAAAGAAATCCATAGCATCAACATTTCAATGGTAGCATTTAATCTTTATTCTATATATTCAACAAAATAATAAACTCACTAAATATTAATGAAAAATAAATTTAAAAATCAAAAATAACAAATTATTTTATATCTTTGCATAATACTGATCATAGTAGTATCTACTTTTGCATTCAATGTTTTGATATTATACATAATGTGGTATACCAAAAGAAACCTTCAAATAAACCCTAAAAGAATTAGAGTGACAAAGGCAAACAATACCTTAGTATTACTATGAAAATAATTTCAAATAATTTAATTTTTATTTAATAATTAAATAACTTTTATTTAATTTCTCAGTATAATGTATTTTTAGAGCTGTCCATTTATCTTTTTTTAATTACTTAAAATTAATTTACCTACCATGAAAATGACTATCAAGATGAGACAGATGCCCACTATGATAAGGAAAGGGATTAGATAATATTCCAAAGGAAGACTAAATTCAGGAACTAAGATAATGTGGCCCCTGGAAGGAAACAAAAGAAATTGAAAAATATTTAAAAATGTGAAATTATGAAGTTAATTAAATATAAGAAAATATTTTAAAAGATAAGTATTACAATTCAATTCCCTAGATACTTCTCATTTTGTAATATATCATTATCAATAATTTAAGTAATTTTTTTCCAAGCATAAATCTGCCAAAATAGCTTACCTACGTACTTTTTGTAAGATCTTAAACTGAGTAGAGAAAATCAGGTAATCAGTACTTATTGTGTCCATCTTGGAAAGCTAAGATTTGATCAATGAAGCAGAATACTAAGTAGTGCAGGAAACAGTGTCTCATTCTTCCTTTAAGTCCCTAGGTTAATTTCAAACCAGGTCTAGGCTTACACTTTATAACTATAATCTCTCTAATGTCCAAATTTATCTATTGACCTATAAGGATTGCCATTTCTGTTTGAAATCTTTACCATGTAGGACAGCAAAGAAATACAGCCAAACCTCTGAGCCCCAATGATTATAAAAGCATATGTCAGAACTTTCCTTCCTATACACCAATACTGCAGGCAACAATTAATACAACTCTTGGATACTTCAACTATAACAGATCATTATTTGCTTCAACTTCGTCCTTCAGTCCATAACTGTCTCACCAAATATCCTACATTCCCTATTAAACAACACTATATTGTTATGCTCCTCTGGGTGAAAACACTATTCCTGCCTACTGTGTTTTGAGGGTCTGTTTCATGGAAGAATCTCTGAAATATTAACTGCATTATTTTCTTCACTAAATGTGAAGAATTATGCATTAACTTAAGTTTCAGTCTATATGTTACTTTACTAGTGAGATTTTGGGGGGAAATTACATATAGAAGTACTTATTTGATGTCAAACTTTTTAAACTTGAAAATAAACATTTTGTCACTATAAAGGTTAACACAATACAATGTTTGAATTCTACAATTACAAAATACTAATTGTTTATAACATACAAATATGTCTTAATGAAGTAACATAAATGTAAATAACATTGCTTTGAATAACAAAGGTTTATTAAACTAAAAGAGAAAATTTTATTATCTTTTTAGATATATGGGTGGGTGCCTTAACTCCTCAAGAATGAATATATTTTCAATACATAATCACATACAGAGGAAACAGTAAAATATAGTAAGTCTTAAAATATGACTTAGGAAGAAATAATCTAGCACAACAGAGCTCAATCTAAAACATAACCTTGTTTACAACTGATAATAAATAATTCTACCCTGATATTAAGAATGTTAAGTCACATGATAATTTTTGATATCCATTACTTACCCCTTATCATATGTGAAATCATCTTTCAGGGAATTAGCTGATGATTCGCCAATAAAAACAGATGGAATGTCAATTTTCTTTAGCACGTCAACTATATAAAACAATAATTAAAATATTCTTAAAAGCCCATGCTGAATGAAGAATCAATTTTAGCTTTCTTCACAATAGCAACAAATGCAACTGAAGCAATTACCATCAAGTTTAATTGTTTAATGGTTGATTTTCCAGATCATAGATCATCAAATGGTTGAGTATTACATTTATAATAACAAAAGCTACCTTCTTGCCTACATTACCATATCATTTCAGTAACCCTATAAAATTAAAATGTACTTCATATTTTTTAATATTTCCTTTTTATTTATTCCACTATAGACATAATTAAACAATGAGAAAAGGGAGAAATTTTAAGTTTTCTCTTCACATATGCTTTTTCCTAAATGAAAAGATTCTACACATAGCCTATTCCCAGGAGAAGTGTAAGCCAAAGAATAAGGAAAAATTACTTCTCAACACTGAAAAATGATACCACACATCTGTGACTTTCCTTAGTGAAGGATTGATGGGAGTTGAGAAAGGGAATACAACAGGGAAGATTGGGTAAACTACTTCCTCCTTAACCTGGAATTCATGGTAAAGCTTTGTGTTTCAATTGCTCTCTGAAGAAAGCTAACTCTTTCCGGCCTTCTCTAGTGGCATGGCAGGTTAAAGCTGAGCACCATGAAGTTATGGACAGCCACTGCAGCCAGAGTCCTCAGCAGTGTATTTCACTACAACTGCCTATTCTGCTCCCCACTCTTGTCTCTGGTGGATCCTTTCATGCCCCCGCCCCAGTGCTGCTGACCTGTACTCCAGTTCTTGTATGCATGAATAAATCTTTAAAAAAAATAGAAAAAAGAAAAAGAAATTTGATTCTTCTACCTATATTCAAAGTCAAAGTCAAAAGCCAGCAACAAAAAAACTTGGTAAAATTTACCCATTATGCAAAAACAGAACTGAAAACAATTCTTTGGATGCTAATTCTAGAAAAATTTATAGAGCCTTATTTAGCTGTGAGTTAATTCTAAAGATTTACCTTTAAAGAAAGTTGATTTCTTTACTTTTGCTACATGCATATTTGTCACTACTTTGATTTTAAATATAAGAGAAAATAGAACCATAATCCTTCCCATCCAAGACAAAGATTTTATTTGAAGTAATAAAATAGTTATAAAATTCAACAAATACACACAATTATGTAACCACCACTACAATCAAGACATTAGACTGTCTATAGAAAATCCCAAAACTTAAGCCCTAGGATGCAACAACCAAAATGGTTAGTAAAGGTATTAATCACTGTTTCTATCAATGGGATCAATAAATATTTTATTTTATATATAATGGGATGATAGATTCATGGGAAAACGTATAAGCTTTTTATCAACTCAAAGCTATGCTTTAGATACCCTGTCATATCAATAAATACAGATCACCTCATCATTTTTAAAAACTGCAGCTGTATTATATAGCCAAATATATTTTAGATAGATGTTTTCTATCATTTAGTGTTTTTTCTAACACATATGGCTAAAATTTAATTTAACAATTGAAAGTTGAAATTACATACACTGCAAAATGTTTTTCTTGCTTATGAAGATACTCAGTGTCATGGAAGAACTTTTGATTTGTAAGTACTGGCTTATAATTATTGGAGTCACAACAGTTTTTAGTTTTTCCACATATAAAAAACTTCTCACCTTAATGAGAAGATTAAGAAGGGGGAAATGATGTATGCAAATACGAAAAGCTATCTTGGAGACTTTACAATATTATTTCTTTACTGAAAACAAAACATGTTCATAAAAGAACACTAAATCTTAATTATGAGCTACAAAACAGTTCTGTGACATATATTCTACCAAAGATTATTATCATGACATCACAGACAATATAATTCAAGTGGCTAGCCCCTATCTCTCCAGACTCATATGCCTAACTGCCAGCTCATTTCCTCCACTTATAGATGTTTCAAACTTCATGTTTCTCAAACGGAATTCTTCATGTCTCTTTTTCTTCAACCAGCTCTTTTTCTAGTCTTTGTCATCTTTATACATATTCACTTAATTGTTTAGGATAAACAATAAATATTCACTTAACTGTTTAGAATAAACATCTTGGAGTTATCCTTTACTCTTTTCCCTTTATTCCATAGACTGAATCTTATCAATTTTAAAATATTCCCCAATATTATCAATCTTATCACTGCCATTGCTAGTATTCCAAAACACTTGCCTGTTTGTAGCAACACTGTTCCAACTGATCTCACAGTTGGCACTCTTTTCTATCCTTTATCTTCAATCTATTCTCCAAAAAACACCAAGTGATCTTTTTCAAATGTGAGTCCAACTACCTTACTCCTGTTTAAAACTTATCTCAAATTCCAAAGTTGTCCTAGAACTACATCCACTGACCCCAAATGTCCCATTAACCTTACTCCCTGCCACTCTTTGTTTCCTTTATTCCACTTCAAGACTGACTGCCACACCTTAAAAACCCCAAGTATGTTCCTTTTCATTTGCTAGTTATTTCTTTCCTTAGTCTACTTCTCATCAGAAATCTGCATGGCTCAGCCTCTCACATCAGACCTCAAATATTCAAATATCAGAATGTAGAAAGCCTCTTTTGACTAATTGCCTAATAAACCATCTTCCTCTCATCCCTGTGACTCTATGTGGCTTATGTGTTCTTCCTTACATATAGCACTTATCAAAATCTGAGTTTTCTCTTTGTGGATCTGCTAGGCTTAAACGACTGCTTAAGCCACCTTTCTGGCTATCCAGCTTAGTCTTTCCAGGACAAAGTCCATTTTTCCCAGTCAATAATGTAAACCTAAAGTATACAAGACCACCAACCCTGCAAACTTTTCTCTCAAGTTGAACAAGAGCAGGATGCTTAACCCCTTGGGACAATGAATAGTCCTTATAAAGAATGACCAGGAATACCTGGGGAGCCTAAACTGATATGTAACTTTGTGTCACAGAGACTGATTAGTGGAATGCCTGGTTAATAAGATCAGAAACATGGGAGTGGAGGTAGGAAGCTTCATTTCAATCTTCAAACACAACTATAAAACTAATAGGATCCTTAGACTCACCTCTCCAAAAAGCCTAGATAACTTAAGCATTCAATCACTTCTTTCTCACTTTCTTCTCTTTGCTCTCCTGTCCCAAGTAACTGTCTCTAAGATCATTCAATCACTACAAACACCAGGTTTTGCCTTCTTGGTAGCATCCTGCAAAAACAGCTTGCTCCGTGAGTCAGGTTTCTTTGACAGTGTGGAATTGCCTAATGCAACACTCTTAGCACACATCTTTGATTACGTGTTTATTTTTTTTTTCTTTCCCACTATATAATGCAATGAAAACAGTAACAGCATAAAAAATCAACAAAATAACTATTAAATGATCACTAAGAAACAGAGTTTCTAGACATTTTAATTCATTCAGTCTTCACAACTCAGTGAATTAATTGCTATCATCCCCTAATGTACAGATCAGAAAAAGTGAGGAATGGAGATGTGAGGTAACATACCCATGATATAGAGCTAGAAATCAAAAACTGGCAGACACTCACAAACCACACTCTCAACCACTGCTTTCTGCTGCCTCAAGTGAATGGTATGAGAGAAGAACAACCGACTACATCATTCCCTGCTATACTCAAGGTACCTAATACAAAGCTTGGTGTAAGCTGTCAAAAATACCAAAGGAAGAAAGAAAGTAAAGGTGAAGAAACAAACCCAAACATATTAATCACTTGCTCTAGTGACATAGTTAGGAATCTGTTGGGGACCAGCCCCAATCACAGATTATTGGGGGGGCAAAACGGTCTTTATTTATACTGTTTAGCAAGATTTAGCTACAATAATACATCAGGCAAGTTAATAAGAAATCAGCATAAAAGTTCTAAAGGAAGAGGGGAAAAATGCATCCTCCTCTTCCTGCTACTTTATGGCATACATCTTTGTGATAACTTTTATGTATACGGATGTTTAATTATGACTTCAAAGGATAAGGGTCTGGGAAAGGATGAGGTTAGCAAGGAATTTTGGAGTCCTAGGGAAGGAATAAACTGTGTTAGCAGAGTCGTCAGTGATTGTCTAAAGAAAAGCTAATGGCTAACTTAAGGTTAGCAGAGAGTAGCTAGTGTTTGTTTTAGGAAAAGGTTAATTAAGACTAGCAGAGAATAGTTAGTGATTGTTTTAGGAAAAGAGTAAATTAAGAGGAAGTCACACAGTTACGCATTAAGTAAAACCTGTGCTGATAATGTTAGGAAATTGTCCATGGGTCCTTATGCCCTGGGAGTTATCTAAAATTCGCTTTTTGTTTCAAAAGACCAAGGAAGCTTCCCAGGAATCTTGATGTTCGCAGGGTCTTATCTCTCCAAGAGCTTTGCCTTTTGTCTTCAGTCAAAGGAATTTCCTGCTGTGGAGCAGCTTAGCTCATACTTTGCCCAGACCAGGTAGCCAATTTAGAGCTAAGGCAATCCAGTTATAAACTGATATTGCTACAATATTTTTGATATTATGATTATACAGAAAAGGGAGGTCATAACATAAGTCAACAATGGAAACTCCAATTTTTCAGAACATTCCCTATCCGCCCGGAATTTGTCAGTCGACAGAAGTTGCACAACTTGTGTCAGGAATCTTCATAGCCTAGACTCAAACTCTCGATCTCCCCATTCTGCTATGGCATGACATGGCATGTACACTGTTCTCATATGATCTTCACACTAAATAAAATTAAAATTATTCGTACTTTTATAAATAAAGGGTTTTAAAAAGTTTAATAGCTGGCCCCTCCCTGGTGGAGTAAGGAGTTAAGTCACAGCACTATGAAGCTATCACAGCCACTGAGGCATGAATTCGATCCCCTGATAGGGAGGAGACCACTTGGCTGGCAGATCTCTTCAGGCCTGCCTACTGTTGCCCTCAGCAGTATACTTCGTTGATCTGCCTGTTCTGCTCCCTACTCTGTCCTGGTGAATCCTCTCACCCCCTGTACATCTGCCCTGTACCCCAGTTCTGTATGTATAAATATATTTTTTTAAAGTTTAATAATTATACCAACAGTACAGATCTTGTCATGTAACTGAGATGGAATAAACCTTTATTTCCTGTTCTCAGGTTGTTTAATTCCCTATATCCTGCTGCCTCCTGAAGATGACAAGTATTACTGGCCCATTCTGTATCCTGGATGAAATAAAAATGGACACAATACCTTGGGTGAAGTTTTAGTAAAAGAGGGCTTTTATAACTTCCTTTTGTTTCTGGATATATAACTTCCTTTTGTTTCCTCTCCTCTTAGAATACTTACAATATTTCTTGTGGCTATGGATTAAGGCTTGAAAGGAGGAATAGATACATGCCTCTTTAAATAGTCCACTACCAAGTAAGAGCAAAGATGAAAATGGTAAAGATCTTTACAACATTTATCATTGAATGTAAGAAAAGTTTAAACATACACATATACAATATTGGAATGAATATCACAGAAAGTAATCTAAGCTTAAAGTCAGGAAACAAAATCCTGAGAAATTTTTGCTATATAATACTCAGTAGGAAATTTCCATGGCAACAGCAGGGTTATAGAGGTATATACTACTTTTGATATTTAGCATGTCCCTTAGGAAATTATAACAAATAGGTTTTATGGTATTATAAAGACAAAATAGGTGGTAAAAGGAACTGACAAAAATCTTTAGTTCACAAATTTTTTTTTAAAGGTTTATTCATGCATACAGAACTAGGGTACAGACCAGAGGTGCAGGGGCAGTGAGAGGATTCACCAGAAACAGAGTGGGGAGCAGAACAGGCAGACTGACAAAGTACACTGCTGAGGGGAGCAGCAGGAGGGTCAGGAGAGGTCTGCCTCGTCATGTGGATAACCTCCAGGGCGGGGATTGAACTCATGCTGAAGTGACTTCAGCTTCTTAGTGCTGTGCTTTAACCCGCTGCACCACCAGGGAGGGCTGCTAACAATATCTTCATTGAACACATATCAAAAGAGTAAATACTTTATACATATTAATCGGCTTGTTAAACCCAAAACATCTTTAGCTCTTAAGAAGGTCTCAAGAGTTGCTATGCTCTGAGACTGGCCTTTAGCAAAACATACAAAAAGAAACTTGCTCAAAGTTCTGTAACTAATAAAAGAGGGAATTGGGGCCTTTTGGTACAACAGGTTATAGCACAGCACCATGAAGCGGTTCAAAGCCACTGCAGCATGAGTTCGATCCCCAGACAAGGAGGTGACCCACATGGTGCAACAGACCTCTCCTGTCTTCCTTGTTGCTTCCCTCAACAGTGCACTTTGTTGATCTGCCTGGTCTGCTCCCCACTCTCTCTTTGGTTGAGTCCTCTCACTGCCCTTGTACCACTGGCCTATACCCAAGTTCTGTATGTATACATAAATAAATCTTTAAAAAATAAATAAAAGTAGGAAGTGAAATCTGAATTCAGGTTTATCTATTTCAGAAGTATACATGTTCACCATTTTGCTGATAAAATATATAGTTCACAAAAGGCACTAACCTAGGATGCATCATGTGGGTAGTATGTTTTTTAAAAGGTGTAGTTAAAGGAATCTGCTATTATACCAAAAGTAGTAATTTGTTTTGTAAGTAAAATACGTTTATCGATTCCTGTAATTCACAAGCAAAGGTTGTCAAACCTTTTGTAAAATGCTGAAACCTCATAAAGGCACTGAATGTAGTCTGTAATTGTGATACTGAATTTGCTAGATTAATGACTTATAAAGAAAAAAATTCTCAAACAATAACAATAAACACTATGGTGTAAAAGTAATTTTGGGGGCCCTCCCTGGTGGCACAGCGGGTTAAAGCACAGCACTGAGAATCTAAAGCCGCCTCCGCATGAGTTCGATTCCCGCCTGCCCCGGAGGTGACTACATGGCGTGGCAGACCTCTTCTGACCCGCCCGCTGCTCCCCTCAGCAGTGTACTTCATCGATCTGCCTGTTCTGCTCCCCACTCTGTCTCTGGTGAAGCTTCTCACCGCCCCTGAGCCTCTGGTCTGTACCCTAGTTCTGTATGCACAAATAAATAAATCTTTTAAAAAAAAAAAAGTAATTTTTGGTTAAAAAAATCCAAAATACTTCCTATTGAGGAAGTAGTTATTTAAAATCCTAAATACATTCCAATGTGGTATATCAACCATAATTTTAGATTTGCTATTTGTTCCAATTTCTTTCTTGCATATATCACTCAATGGAACACAGTAGCAAAAGCTATGATCATGCATTAAAAGGAAAGCAAAATGTGTAATCATAAATGTTGCTAATGAATCATCTTAATGGTACCTAGAAAGATTCTGTTAAAATCAATAATGCCGAGTGAGAGCAATTGAACTAACTGAAATACACAAAGACACAGATATACACACACACACACAATATGTCAAAAAAAAATGCTAAATTAGTAAATTAGGTAGGTAAAAGTATATCTCTTACAAGTCTCTCTCAGGTTAAAGTCACTTTTTCCCCACAAGCTGACATTTAAGGAAAGATTACAGTATTACTTTTTTAATGAAAAGCAATAGGCATGCCAATATATGTTAAGGGACTACTGACTTTATGGTATAAAAAACACAGTATGTGGCTTTGAAATTCCACAAGAATATAGTAGCTACTTAGTATATTCACATATACTAATGTTTAATCTTGTGAATCCAAAAAAAAAAAAAAAAAACTTAAAGCATCCTTCACTCAGCATGTTTCTCTATTTAAAGCCAATGTATGTTAAGAGCCAACTCACCTTATATTGTAATAAACTCTCTTATTGTAAAGAGAGATATAAATTGGGAATTATCTTTTTAACCTAGAAATACATACTCTGCTTTTGAAACAGAAAATGAGAAGATAAATTGTTCAGTTTTAAATATGAATGATTTTTCAAACAGGAGAGAAGAAAAGTGATACCTGTACTTACTGTCGTTGGATCCCATGCTTATGAGGTCATCAGAATCAACATTGTGAACTATGGCTGCTTTGTATCCTGCTTTCTGTGCATGTAAAACCTGCAAGGCAGAAAGTAGTCATGCTACAGGAAGAATTTTTCATCACAAAAGTCTCAATTCAACAAATACAAATCAATGCATATAAACCACTAAATCTATCCCATACATCTAGGACTAGCTTACATATATATATATATATATATATATATATACAGATGATTGATTGACAGATAAATAGGCAGAAAGAAATAGAGCAGAGCACAAGTTTTCTCTTGAAATACCTTTTATAATTTATTTTCAAGGGTTTTATATTGTACCTTCTTGACTTCACTCATAACATTAAGTAGAAAGGTTGGGAATACAAGTTACAATACTAAAAAAAGCCAAGTAACAAATATATAACTCAAAAGAGGTATAGAATAGTTGTGATTGGGCTAAAGAGTTACCAGTCTTTAGAATTTAAATCTACTTCCACTATTTATAAGTAGGATAAACTTGGGAAAATTATTTCTAAGGAATTATAACTATTTCCTTAGTTTCCCCAGATTTGAAATGGGAATAACAACACCATTTTCCTCATACATATATTTTTTTAAATGTTTATTAGAAAAACTCACATTAGAACATAAACATTATTCCTATTATCAGTTTAATTACCATCAACTAAGTTCTTTAATCTCTTTCTGAAGTTTTGTTAGAATTATAATACCTCCAGCCTTAACTGCTTACTCTATCATATAATATTCTATCATATAATATTTCCTAAAGATAACCTCTGAAGTGGTAAATGGCTGAATGTGTTGAAGAAATTTCTGAGAATAAAAATAACTCCCAAGTATTCAGACAGACTGGGTTGAGTGCTAGGTAACAGAAATTATGTAGTCAAACCCAATTAGGCAGGGTTGGCTTTGCACAGAATAAAACTTTCCTCCACATTACCCTTCAATTCTTTAAAACTTAAGTATTACAGAAGTCTCCAAAAATTTGGTTTCTGAAAATCATAGTAATGTGCACTAACCAGAATATTTTTATCCTACCATTGACAAAAATGCAATCTGTAGGAAATAAGAATGTCTCAAGTTACTAATATTTGATGAGTCTTTATAGCTTCTATAGTAACATTGAAATAGCTTGATAGAGGAGTCACTCATTAAATCATCACAAACACAAGAGGTAAAGATAGGCAGAGTTTTTTCCTTAGCTAATTAAAATAGTATAAACAGTTCATCAACATAGGACCTACTACTCTAATCAGCAAATTAACAATAAGACTTAGTCTGTTAATGCAAGGAAAGGGCAATAATAAAGAAAGAAAGTTTATTATTTCTGGCTGATTCATCCATGTTTTACTTTTAGTATGATTCTGTTATCCAGCTAAAACTGAGAAAATGCCAGCCACCAAAGCCTCTTTCCATAGATTTACTGTTTTTTAAGAGGAAGGAGAAAATCTCTTAAGGTTATTGTAGATTCAAAATTTTGTTTTCTTATTATTTATATATTAAGTTATTATATATCCATCATAGTACTATAGCGGTACAGACTTCACTCAACTTTCATTTAAACAAAAGTATATGTGGCTGAGGTTGCTATTAGTAGATCTGATGCTTTAGTGACCATTTTAATGGTTCCCAAAAGGCAAACCAAATAACTGAAGAGAAATATATTTTTTATACATGCAAAAAAAACAATTGTTCCCAGTGGCATAATTTAAGAAATAAAATATATTCTCTGCTAATATAAAAATTCAAGTTTTAAGTTTGTTTTAAAATTCACAGTCACTAAAATTCCATGATTTAATTTGTTTATTTATATACATATCACACACACACACATACACACACAAAGAAAAATCATGTTAAGATATAGAAAATGGAGAAAAATAATCTCAGGAACCATGATAAAGTAAAAATTGCAGTTCAGTATTTGTTGGGTTTGCATAATTTATTGTGTATTGGGCACAATGGCACACTCAAAGGTAATAAGAGACAATCATTATCCTTAAGGAAATCTCAATATTTGCAGAAGTACAAACAGGTCAGATGTTTTCTTGTCTTTGAATATTTATGTATTAGGTTATATCTCCTTGGAGGACGCTTTGTGTTCTGTATTTCTTGAAGTCTGTCTATTCCGCATGCTGTACCCAAGCACCAAGAATAATGGCTCCCTGCTTAAAGTGTTTAGAGCAGTTTGTTTGTACTTATCAAGTGCATTACAGTTATGCATAAATGTATTACCCCATATCCAAAATAAATCTCCATGGGGGTCCTTAAATCGCCTATAATTATCTGTGTGTTAACTTATGATAAGAAGTGACAAAGTTAACATCAATATTACAAAAGGTTTTCTGACCTCCAAACTGTTGAGAGCCATATAAATTAACAGGTTTATACCAACGAGCAATCTATCTACTCAGTAGGTCCTTAAAACTGTTCCGAGCAACTAAGGAGAATTTTTTTTTCACACATCAAAATTACAAGTGTTCCCAGAAATACAATATGAAATTCAATCAGTATCAAAAGCTATTTTCTGCTAACAAAATTATAAAGCTCCTAAAAACACTAAAATATTTTTAGTATTTTTATATAGATGTAGAAAAATGCTATATAGGAAGGAATTCTGTAAGCACAAATAAAAACATGTTTCTAAAACTTTAACAAGAATGCTTCATCAGGTTCATGTTCTTGCTTCCACTGATTTCTAAAATAAATTAATAAAATTAAATCAAGAGGAGGGACTTCCGGAAGATGGCGACAGAGTAAAGACGCCGAGATCACCGCGTCCAAGCCGGCATAGGAATTGAGGACTGAAAACGGACTATAGACTCACTTACTACAAGTTTTAACC